GTTCCTCCACCTAAGTGCATGCACGAAGAAACGGAGCCGCTGCTCGTCTTCGCACCTGCAGGATGAATTCTACCCAATTTTCGACTTCCCTCTCTCATTCTCTCATTCCATCCTACTCTCTTCTTTCACAAACACGCACAAGTTCTTGATGTATATCGGCAGATTATAGTATCACTTCCGGTTGCAATTTCCTCAACATCACCCCCCGGTCCTCACGCCCGAGCGCCGTTTCAAAAAAAAAACCCAGATGCGATGACGTCACCGCCCCTTCGGACGTCACACATCTTTGCTCTTGTTCTTCGTCGTCGTCGTTGTTGTTATTTCCTCGGAACTGAATTGGGTCTGCCGTGTTCGTTTCCTGGCCAAATCGCAAAAAGTCTCCAATCTCAACGCACATGTCGAATTTGCTATACTCACATGACCGCAAACCCATTCAGAAGAAGAGCAGCCCTGTTATTTCTTTCCGAATCAGAGTTTCCAACCACTGAACGTTTAAGTTAATTCTTTCATATCTACCATGTTTACCTTTAATATTCAATCCGAAGTTATGCGTGGAAACCTTAGTCTTCCTGAGCCGTGGTGGGTCCTCTCGCAGCTGTCCTACTTTAACCCAATTCGAATCTGTCGCTAATTAACCATACCGGTTTTGGTATTTTACCGGTACTGAATCAAATTCTTTTTAAAATCTGCCTTTGTAGATAGTATAACAATATAATATATTAAATTACGCTTAAAACGTAAATGTAACTTAATTTATAATTTCTTGTTTCTATATGATTTTGAATTAAGTCAGTTATATAAAAATTTATTAAATATTTCTTAGTTTGTATAATTTATATTTACAATATTTCCAGAAAAAGTATTAAATGGATTAATAGAAAAATTGTATTGATTAAAGATGCAAATGAGCATTTATGTCTTGTATAATTTGGTTACATAAAAGCCAAGTAAAAGTAAATTAAAAAGTACTAAGTCTCATGTCTCAGATTTCGTCTTGTTAATCTTTATAAGAAATTTACGCAGTCGAAAATTTCTCGCTTAATTTGATCTCAAAGGAAACCTTAAATATGTATTGATTTTAATACAATTTAAACGTTGTTCATTTCTTCACACTTGACACGTTACATATCTAATTTTACTTGACAAGTATATTGCGTATATTCTCTACCACTATTAATACTTGTATTAGAAATTACTTGAAAAATTTCATGTAGAAGTTTCTACTAAAGTTAATTATAATATTGAATAACACAAGAAAAGCGATAAATCGAACGAAACAAAGGACCGGAATAAAATAATTTACGTAATTTCTGTGAAGTAAAAATCTTTACGAAATGTTTAGAAGATTTGAATTGGTCCATTAAAATGTAGTAAAGATGTTTATCAACTCAAAAGCAGTAAAATCTGCTACTATTGATGATTCATTTATTACAGCTGTTTTTCACACATTATTGTTTCAGTGAAATTTAATTACATTTAAGTTTTGAATTGCTTCATAAAACTACATACTAAAATTTTACTATATTGTTTAAGAAATTACCAAAATTATTTGCTACAACGTTATTTAGATAAATAAATATTAGTATGGTGAAAATAAACAAATTTGATTGTTGCGTTGTCTCTTGATGTAATAATATGTAAAAAATTGATAATAACGTAATTATTATCAAGAAATGTTGTTTTTTTACGAATATTTGGAATAACTCGGTTTTCATTAACTTACTATTCGTATACGGGTTAAGACAGCATAACGAATATTCGTATAAGGAACAACGTCGTTGCCTCACATAATGACTTGATGTTTTTTTTTAAGTTGTTGCAGTACATGTTGTTGTTGTTGCTCTTTTTTTTACACGGACTATCCAATCAGGGCTCCTGTAAATTGGTTCAGCCAATCTGTGACGAAAGAATTACACGAACTTCAAGAGGCGCAACATGCCGTGCCAAGTTTAATTTTCGACCGGAAGTGATTAAAGTGTTGTGTGCTTAGAATGAGACTACTTTGTTGCGAACAGGCGGACCTTTTCGTGTATATACACGTATATTTATTTACATGTTTCATATTTATGATTGTTGTTTGGCCGCAAAAATCTGGCCGTTTTGAAAACACTGCGTTTGACGGCTGGCTTCGTCGATAGCCAATAGAGTTGTGGCTATTATTTTTGCAAAATATGTCCACAATTTATGGACGTATTTATAATTCCTTACGCTCTTGGTTCGTCGCATTTATAAACATCAACCCGTATAGGAAACCGGGGGAAGTAATTTTTCATTCCGCAGAAACGGGGTCACCCGTTACAATGTTTCCTAAATAAACGGCTTATTTTTACCCTCTCCTTATGAAAGACCTAGAAAATGCAGAGTTCCCCTATATACATTGCTTCACTGCATCCAAAACCACCTGAAATGCATGGTAATACACTTTAAACCACTAATTCCATCCTGTCTATAACAATCTTAATGATATTACCTTATTTTTTATATATAAGAATTTACTTGAAATATTAAAAAAAAAAGTCGTGTAACACGTCACATGTTTAACTTTACAAGTATTGCTTATATTCTCTGCGACTATTAATACTTGTATTACTTTATATTTCAAATTACTTGAGATGTTTCGTGTAGTTTCTTTAATTTATTATTTATTGGAATATTAAAAAAGTATATGGTCTAAAGTCGTGTAACACGTTACATGTCTAACTTGTCAAGTATTGCGTATATTCTCTGCGACTATTAATACTTGTATTACTTTATACTTCAAATTACTTGAGAAGTTTCATTTATTAATTATTGGAATATTTAAAAAAAAATGGTCTAAAGTCGTGTTATACTTATATAATATTTTAAGAAGTATCGTATTTTTCGGCCCTAGGACGTATGTTCTACTTGACTTACATCTTAAGATTTTGTATTTTTTAAATTATCTTATTTTATTAAACTGGATCATAAGACGGTCTTCTAATTAATAGATGCATATTAATTGTAAGTTAATTTCTAAATATTAAAAATTGCGTTTTATGCTTTTAAGATGCTTTGAGATGTGTGCTAGCAGTGGGATAGCTGGAATCGAGGTTATTGCATTGAGTTAGGTTAAGTATATACGCACGTAGGATTTAGTAGATCCAGTAATAGATTAGGAAAACAATTGTCTTAGGCAAGGTAAGCATGGATCTGTTTTTGGATGGGTTCCAGAGGTGGCCGGAGTAGGCGCACCGCCGTATAGCGAGGACGTACAAAGCGACAAGTGTGCATTAAATTAGAAACATTAGGAAATCAACACTGCCTCCGTCTGGCACAGCACCGTGTTTACATTCGAAGCGCTCCTCCGAGATTCAGACCGAATGAAGGAACCGAGAAAGAAAGAAAAAAACAACTTTTTTTTGTTGTTTTAATTGTACGACTGCTTTCTTCTCATCTCGCTTTACTCTCAGCTTGCTTTACTCTCATCTCGCCATTCACTTTTTGGATACTTCGGAGATGAAGAAAATGAAATAAAAATAAATAAGACTACCATCGGTGACCATAAAAACGCGATAAAAGTTTCATTTTATTGGTCAGTCGCGTTCTTTTTTTGTTGTACAAGCGGTTGTGGATGTTCTGTTGCCTTTTGGCTTCTCGTTCTGTGCAGAAACACCCTTCGCCGTCCGCGCGAAAAAACGAAGAAGAGATGAACCTGTTTACCATAACAACGTGATAAAAACGCAGTGGCCTCAGATAAATTCGGTTATCTGCATCGAATTATTATTATTTTTAAGAGCAAAGATAGTAGTGTGTATGAGCGGAGCGCGTCGTGCTGCATATACCTGCTAAATATGGCGACAGGTGTTCCATGAATTTACACCTGTCATTCGTGGCGACCGATGGCGTATCTCTTCGACACGCGTCCCACTGGAATAGAGTCAACCATGCGATATCAGCCCCAATTATTAAGCTTCAATCGAAACCCCTCATTAAAGGTTTGCTGGACATATTCAGATTCCTGGTGGAGCATCTGCTTGAACCGCGGAAAACGCGATCCTGACTAACCATAGGATGGTTAGCTTTGTCCGACGATTAACGGAGATCGCATTCAAACTCCCGGCTGTACTTCCAGCAGCAGCAGAAGCAGCAGCCTCACCACCATCAGATGTAGGTCAAGTTTGCACGTTGCATAATCCGGTGGCGTAACAGCGTGTCATTGTTTAAAAGCGAGGCGCGGCGGGTTGTCCGGCATGGATCATCTTCTCAATGGGATCGGATTTTATTCTCTTTTTTTTTACTTCTTCATCTTTAACAGAGCTCTCCCTCTCTCTGTCCCATTATTGTTATTATTTTTAATTCCGGGGGTCGAGCAGCTGTCCCGTTCTCAGAAAAGATGGGTGCGGGTCAAGTAGTTTTCTTTCTAAGGTTTCTTACAATTTTCGTTTGGTTAATTATCGGGGCTATTAGCTCGAAGGGTTGCGATTTCTTCAAGCTGAGCTGCTCTCGTATGGCGCGATTCGAGCGTGCGTGCGTATGTGTGTACGTATCTGGATGAAGCTCACCTCCCAGGAAGTTCAATCTGATGATGATAAAAACATGTTGCACGAGGCGTTTGTTTATTTACCCATAATTAATATTAACAAAGCGAGCTGGTGTGTATCTAAACAGCCGAAGCCAAGGGAGTGAGTGCGTGCGTGTGAGTGTGTCCGTATAGATTTGTCTCTTTCTCTCTGTATGTGTGTGTGTTTTTGAAGGCAGTTCAAAGACGCCAGGCATGTCCTTGTCCCGTGCGGATCTCGACGTCTCAGAAGAAAAGAAGGTACGAGAGATGCCCGGAGAGCAGGCACACGGTGGGGATAAAACCGAAGGTACAGGCAGGACCTGCTGGTATCGTCCAGCTGCCTCGTATGCATCTGTTCGTGGTACAGCTGCAAAATTCAATCAACACACACATATTTGATTTTGATAAGAGCAACAATAATATCACCTGAATGGCTTCCTCCTTGCGATGCGATGCGACTAGATTTATCCAACCGTTCGTCAAACTCTCCGTTGTCGTCGCGCGTGCTATGCCTATGGCAATTAAGTCCTTCCTTATCGCCGCCCTACGCGTCAAACATTTACCGTACTCCAATGATATCTTTGTCTCTCACCTTATCGTCCCTTATTGACCGAATGTCGTTTGCAGCTTTTCCCCGCAAACCCCGTCATCTGCTTGACGTTGGTCAATTTATACCCTGGACCACATATGCCAGTGTTATCAATCTTTCAACCTTTTTCCATTATTTTCAACCCTAAGGGCATTTCCAAATACTTCAAATACCAATACAAATTTATAAACTTATACTCTATTAACTACTCATTCCTGTCACTCAAATTTATTACAAAATTTAACAATCCATTTTATGAATGTTATATATCCAAATATTTCACATATGAATACAATTTTATCAATATATTAATGATTTTTTCTTATTAAAATATCTCTAAATAAACAATTTACAAAATTGTCAAAATATCTAATTTGAATTGAGCAAAATGAAAATAATTTAAATATTTTTTCTACTATACTCTAAACTTACATAAGCAATATGTATAGGAAAAATCAAAGCTGAATAAGGTGGAAAGTAAATGATTCCATTTGTATGTTCGTGCCATTTGAACAGTTCGTGTAAAACGCTTCTAAAATTAAGTAAATTGCACGCGAAACAAGGTCTTTAATTTTATAGGCTATTCTCCAAAATCATTGAAGCAATTTTCAATTATTTCTAAGAAAATGAAAGCTGAAACTATCAAAGTAATAAAAGGTGTTTTTATTTAGTAGCATTCTCGTATTATATGCAAAATAATTTCTACATTAACTCAATTACCGTTAAAACAATCTCGCCATTTTTATGCGCTATTAATTTTTTGAATAACAGTTCACGAAATAAGTGTAGTGGTAAATTTCAATGATTATATCATTTATTTAGAAATGCTGTTATATTTGTGTGTATAATTTGGAAAGTTAATTGTACTTGTGAATGTCACGGCTGATGTCAATTCTAACTAGCAAAATACATTTACTAGTAAAGAAAATTTCTCTTTACTTGTCAAGTATCGTTTACTATATCATACTTACAAGTATTTAACGAAGAGTATTCATTTACTTTCGTAAATATACTTAACTTGTTACTTGGCAAGTATACAGTTTACATTAAATTTTAATACTTGTATTATTACATAATTTGTATTCTATTTGTAAATATTTAGAATAATTATGTTATACTATTGTTAGTACTCTTATAATACGATTTTCAAGGATCCGAAAGGGGTTCAAATTCTTAACCACAAACCTTTATTTACAAATCTGATCAACAGGTGTTTTGAAGCATACATTTCCGAGTTTCCATTTTGGGTTTCTTTTTTTTTTTAATATATTTCATGTACTAGTACTATTGAACAGTCCACATGATCATGTTTAAAAAAATCAATGATTATAACAATAAACTATTGTTTTTGATAAAATTTTGGATTGCAATGATTAAAACAATGCGTCGAAGCACGCACGTAGACCTATTGTAGCAGCTGGTATTCAAATTGAGTGACAACTTTGGAAATGATTTCGAGACAATTACGAGTTCATTGCAGTGATTACATGAAGGAAAATAATGGTATGTTAGGAAAAAGGGGACAATGTTATTGTATGTATAGAGAAATGTGGGGCATTTATGATGCAGGTGCAGGGAGGAGTCGCATATGTACTATAACTTCCTTATATACTAGCATGGAAAATATCACAAGTGGTTTGTTTTGAAACATGCGTTCCTTAATGACTCAATTAGAGAAGAGCAAGCAAAAAAAAAATCACTATCTTCTAACCTTCAAATTTATTTCCATGCGTTTTTTTTTAATAAGATTAATTTTCAGTAAGATCAACGCAAAGCGACGAAAAAGATGAATATTCAGAATATAACAATGATTTGTTTTGTTTAGTATTTCGTCTTTTGTGATCAAAAGAACTGCTTTCTGTTCACTTAATACAAAAAAGTGTAGTTGAAAGGGACCGATTCTTTAAGGTATTTCATTTTTGTACAAAGAGTATTCAGTTGTGGTTTACTGTTGCAATTCAGAACAATCAATTGAAAATACTAGGCAAAATTTCTTTGAAAATTTTACTGGTAACTTTCTGCAACATGATGTATCGATTATTTTACATCGTAAAAATACAAAATGTGAAACGACTATTTGACAAGGAACTTTTCTTGTAGATTAAGACAAAAAAATAAAAATTTAATTTAATTAAAAGGTTCATTTCATTATTATAATTTATTTCGAATAAAAATAATTTTGGACATATTGAAATATTTCTTTTATATCTAAACTCTGAAAAGTGTAATTTGCATTAGAATAACCTTTATTCTCGACTAATTTCAGATCTTAATATAACAAATTAATTAGTACATATAATCATTAAAAAAAAGATTATAGTTTTGCAAATTTTATTCAAAATTTTAAATAAAGGATATTTAAAAAAAAATCCTTAATTATTTTAAATTGGTAAAATATAAAAATTTAAACTACGTAAAGCGGGGTATATATGTATTTTAATTTGCATTGAAGGAATGGTAGGAATATTCCCCTTCACGAGTGATTTATTTTGTTTGCTATGTCGTCTTTTATGCGCACGGTCCAAGGAATTGCTTTCAGATCGCAGCTTAATAGAAAAAAGTGTAGATTCCTTTAAGGAGCTATGTGCTCTATTGAAGTCCGCTAGATCTCTGGAGTGTTTGAATAGGACACGTGCTCAGGGAGAACGGGCATTGAAAGAAAGAAGGGAGCACCTTTTCCTCTCTTTGATGAGGAACAATGAATGAAGGAAACCGTGCTCCGGCTAAGTTTTTCCTTGCAGTACCGGATAGTTAGCCGCCGGTCGAGTTGCTCCATATTATATGTTGTTTTTTTTCACTCTCTCTCCTCCTATCCCCGCGAGAGTCGCGGTCGTAACCCCTATGCTCACCAGAGTTGTGTACGTCTCCCCTCTCAACCCTTGTCCCCCGGTAACTTTCGTAGCAAGTTAAAGGTGTTTTTAAAGCCGCACCTAACATCTGCCGTCGTCTTGACCATATTTTTTAAAAAGATGTAAACACTTTTCTTGGGTCACCTTCTTTCAGAATAATATATATATATTTGTGTGTATGTAATATACCTTCTCTCATGCTTTTTCTTTGCAAGCACACGCTCCTTCCCCCCAGGTAAAGAGGGTGTCCATGGAAAAATGATTTGGCGCAATCCAGTATTATGCATGATCAGTAATGGAAGATTAATAGTAATGCGTGCTCCAGCTGGGCTTTCGGGAGGCAATCGCGCGAACGCCCGCCGGGATCCGAAAAGTCAACGTTTCCAATTCCCATTAACATTTGCAATTAAGGGGGCAGCTGTGATTTTTTTTTCTGCTTCCCCAAATGATTGTCCCCTTTCCTCCCTACTCCTGCGCCATCTTCCATCGGGTCTAAATTAAATTATAGCGTTTGAGAAGCAGGAAGGAAATCTTTTTTTTTTCGCTTTTCTTCTTTTCATCTCCTTCTTCATCTCCATCTTTTGCCGTCAGATCAGGAGCATATGCCTCGCCACCACCGAACCGTGGGGGTTGAAGATTTTTTCATGACCATTCTCCACTTTTTTTCGTTTTCCTTCCTTCCCTTTTTTTAATTATCCTTAGGGGTTTCTGTCGCCGCGCTACACGGATTTTTCTCTTTGTGACGTCCAAAAAAACGCCACATATGCTGCTGCTGTCTAATTTCGTGGAGTAACCAACCACCTGGCACACGCCATATAGCGAACACGTGGTTACCGTCAAAAAATTTGATATAGAGGGGAAGCTTGGCGCGGGAAGATTATTGCCGTGCTTTAATGCAGTGCTTCCTAACCCATAATTTTTTCAAAATTTTAGTTCACCGCAATCATTAAAGTACCAACCATTTTTAAGAGGTTTTCAACCTCAATTACCATCCATCCATCAATATATTTTGTCAATGCAGTAATTTTAGCTTAATTCAATACCTTAAATAAAGAACAGTTGTCATCAATCCACTCACTAGACTCTACACACGTTGCTTAACTTTGCAAAGTTAATTTATCTGTTTACATTATAATATATTTCTATGTTTTGACAGTTCATTTCATTTGACTGACATTTGTCACCCATCCAACAAATATACTACATCTGTTGCTTAACTTTACTAATTTCATGTTAGTTTTTTTTTTAAATATTTTTTTCTGGCAATTTGTATTAGTTTCTTTCTTTTATAGAATTCAATTCGTATACAAATAACTAATATTTGACACCCATCTAATTAATTATATTGCTTAACTTTCCTTACATAACATTACTGACATTTGTCACCCATCCAACAAATATACGATATCTGTCGCTTAACTTTACTAATTTCATGTTAGTTTTTTTAATATTTCTTCAGACAACTTGTATTAGTTTGTTTCTTTTATTGATTTAAATTCATATACAAATGACTAATATTTCATACCCATCTAATTACTTATATTGCTTAACTTTTCTAACATAAATTGTGATTACCATTTTTAAAATAATCCTACTTACCCTCCCATCCAACTATTACAGTGCTTAACTTTCCTTACATAACATTCGTTTCTTTAAACTCTTTCATTAACAATTTTTATTAGCTACTTTCTATTAACATTTTTATGCATTCTCTAACCCAGTGATTCCCATCCATTGTCTTTTTTTAGTGCATTTACAAATCCATTCTCAAACAAATTTATTTATAAATTCGTTTAAAAAAAAGTCATTTTCACAATCCTTAAAAAATATTATTTCTTCAAATTCAAAAATCCGTTAGAACTAGAATTCTATATAGAAGCACTGAATTGAACTAGAAAAATCAATTCAATGCTTTTAGATAGAATTCTAGTTTTTTTTTCTATTCAATACTGTCCCTTTAAAAAACTTAGTTTAAAGGTATTGATTCAGTTAGACACTTCACTTTTTCTTTTATACAAAGGAAATCTATTGTTAGATTTCTGTTACAATTCAGAACACTCAATCCAAAACATTAAGCAAATTTCCTTTGAAAACCTACTGGTGCTTTTCTACGTAAGAGTGTCCTGTCCCTTTAATGTTTAAAGGGACTGATTGTATTAGTGTGACAACATTGTATTACGTTTTGAAAAGTATCGTTTCTTTATTTTTTTTTTCTTTTGTTACATAATTGGTCACAGTGTTAATAGAGCTGTATAGTTCATGGCGAATTATAATATAACACTTTTAGTTTGAATC